GATTAAGGCCTGGATTTCTAGTGTCCTGAATTAATCTCTGGGAATGATATGAGAAATCTATTTAAATATTTTTAAATAGTTCCACAATTTACATTATTGAAGAGTCAGACTTAGAAACTGCTGGATTGAGGTATTGCTGATCCTATCATTTAAAAATAAGTAGGTAAAATTTCCCTTCTACACCTTTATTTACACTTAATTGAGGTGCTATTGCAAATCTAATCAAATATCTTTGCCAGGGATCTGTATGTCTTTACTACAGGTACTTTTCAGATCTCTAAAGGAAAAATGAGATATTAGAGAATTAGTTTTTTTAAGATCCCACTATGTGCCAGATACTTTATAAGGACTTACATTTAATCCTCATAAGTGATTTTAAAAAGAGATTCAGAGATTTTAAGCAGCTTGCTTAAGGACACAGCTAGTAAGTAGCAGGAGTTATATATGTTTGACTTTAAAATAAGGGTGTTTCCCTTTAAGCTCTGTTACTTCTAGACAAACACAACAAATAAGGACTATATTTAGTCATTTCTGCTGACTCATTTGCTCCTACATTTCTCTGCCTCTCCATCCATGGACAGGAGCAGAAAGATAAAAATCTATTAGCACATAAGATGTCTTCATTTTAACAAAATCCTGAACCTTTTTTCCTAGTCATAAGTTTTTCATGTAGTTTGAGTCACTTTTTTGCCTCATACAAGTGGGGTTACTCACCAATTTCTGCTAATTGATTTATACCATAATCTAATTTGCAACCATTCTTAATTTTGATTTCACATTTGCATGCAAGTGACTAAATCTACACAGCATCTATACCTATGCTATTCTATGAGGTAACTGTGAGCTAATTTTGCTATGTAAACTTGAATTAAATAAAATTCAAAATACATTTCTTTAGTGACATTAGCCACATTTTATATCCTGCAGTGAGCCACATGTGACTAATAGCTACTCTATTGAACAGAGCAGATATAAAACATTTCTTTATTATAGAAAATTCTTTGGGGCAGAACTGATCTAGAAGTGGGCCTACCTCTATTAACTTTTTATAACAATGAAGTCAGCATTTTGTATTTTCTTTCTTTCTTTCTTTTTTGAATATGCAATTATTCATTTCTTTTTCTCACTTAAGAAAATTAGAGGTAGGCAGTCTAGAACTGATAAAGAGGTTTAATGGTATCATCAAAACTCTATCTTTCATGTTTGTTGCTTTATAGTCACAAGATGGCTACACAGTTCCTGAGATCACATACTCATCTAAGATAGGAAGAAAGATGAAGAGTTGGTCCCAATTGTTTCTGTTTTTTAAACTAAGAATGGAAAAGTTTTCTTGAAGTCACTCATAGGTGCAGGAAAGACTGTGAAAGCATGTTTTTAGATTTTCTAGCCTTTATAAAGGAAGATAACAAAGGAGAAGGGGCTTGGGGATGGATGTTGGGTCAAATAATGTCACAACACTGGAGTCAACCGGATAAAGATTTATGATAAAGATTCACTAACCTAAGTATTATGGTTTAGATGTCATGTCCTCCAAAAGCTCACATGTGAGACAATGCAAAAGGGTTTGGAGGAGAAATGACCAGATTATAGCTTTAACCTAATCAGTGAATTGATCCCTGATGGGATTAACTGGGTGATGACTGGAGGGGGGTGTGGTATGGCTGGAGGAAGTGGTTCATTGGGGGCACGGCTGTGGGGTATATATTTTCTTTGTTTTGTTTTGTTTTTAAATTCAACCTGAATTTATTTCTCTTTTATTTTACATTACGAGAATTTTAAACATGTACAGTGTAATAAACCCCATGTATGTCATTTTGCTTCAACAAGTATCAATTTATGAACAATCTTGTTTCATTGTACCCAATCCTGATTCTTTCTCCTCTCGCATATTATTTACCAGACTTTATCTTTAAATATCATAGCAAACCTCCCTCTAAAGACTCTTTAAAAAAAATTCTAACCATAATTCCATTGTCACACCAAAAACAACAGTTTCATATATATATGTGAGAGAGAGAAAGATAGAGAGTTGTAGATGAATACACAGTATCTTTATTTATTTCTATGTGGTGCTAAGGATCAAGCCCAGTGCCTCACACATGTAAAATAAGCACTTTACCACTGAGCTACAGCCCTAGCAGTAACAGCAGTTTCTTTCTTTCTTTTTTTTATAGTCTTTCTTTTTTTCCAGTAATATATTTTTTAATTCTAATTTGTTATACATAATGGAAGAATGCAATTCATTCCATATTACACATATAGAGCACAATTTTTCAAGTCACTGTACACAACATATTTTCACACTATTCGTGCCTTCATACATGTACTTAGGGAAATGATGTCTAACTCGTTCTACCATCATCTCTACCCCCTTACCCCCTCCTTTTCCCTACCTCCCCTTTGTCCTATCTAAAGTTCCTCTATTCCTCCCATGCTCCCCCCAGGCACATTATAAATCAGCATCCACATATCAAAGAAAACATTTGGCCTTTGGTTTTGGGGGATTGGCTTACTTCACTTAGCATTATATTCTTCAACTTCATCCATTTACCTGCAAATACCATGATTTTATTCTCTTTTAATTCTGAGTAATGTTCCACTGTGTGTATGTACACCAAAGTTTCCCTATCTATCTACTGAAGGGCTTCTAGGTTGGTTCCATAATTTAGCTATTGTGAATTGTGCTGCTATAAACATTGATATGGCTGTGTCTCTGTAGTATACTGTTTTTAAATCCTTTGGATATAGACTGAGGAGTGCAATAGCTGGTTCAAATGGTAGTTCCATTCCAATTTTCCAAGGAATCTCCATACTGCTTTCCAGATTGGCTGCACCAGTTTGTAGTCCCACCAGCGATGTGCCTTTTTTCTTACATCCTGGCCAACACTAATTGTTGTTTGTATTCTTAATAGCTGCCATTCTGACTGGAGTGAGATGAAATCTTAAGAGTAGTTTTAATTTTCATTTCTCTAATTGCTAGAGATGTTGAACATTTTTTCATGTTTGTTGATTAATTGCATATCATCTTCTGAGAAATGTCTGTTAAATTCCTTGTCCCATTTATTGAGTGCTTTATATATCCTAGATTAGTGCTCTACCTGATGTGCTTGTGGTAAAGATTTGCTCCCATTCTGTAGGCTCTCTGTTCACCTTGCTGATTGTTTCTTTTGCTGAGAAGCAGCTTTTTAGTTTGAATCCATCTCATTTATTGATTCTTGGTTTTAATTCTTACACTACTGGAGTTTTATTAAGAAAGTTAGAGTCAATCCAACATGATGGAGATTTGGGCCTACTTTTTCTTTACTCTTTCTACTTTTCATTAGGTGCAAGGTCTCTGGTATAATTCCTAGGTCCTTGATCCACTTTGAGTGTAGTGTTGTGCATGGTCAGAGATAGAGGTTTAATTTCATTTTGTCACATGTGGATTTCCAGTTTTCCTAGCACCATTTGTTGAGGAGGCTATCTTTTCTCCAATGTATGTTTTTGGCGTCTTTGCTAATATAAGATAACTGAAGTTATGTGGGTTAGACTCTGTGTTCTCTATTCTGTACCATTGGTCTACAGGTCTATTTTGGTGCCAATACCATGCTGTTTTTGTTACTATTTCTCTGTAGTGTATAGTCTTAGGTCTGGTATAGTGATGCTACCAGCTTCACTCTTCTTGCTAAGGATTGCTTTGGCTACTCTGGGTCTCTTATTTTTCCAGATGTTCATGATTGCTTTTTCTATTTCTATAAGGAATGCCATTGGGATTTTGATTGGAATTGCATTAAATCTGTATAGTGCTTTTGGTAGTATGGTCATTTTGACAATATTAATTCTGCCTATCCAAGAACAAGGGAGATCTTTCCATCTTCTAAGGTCTTCTTTAATTTCTTTCTTTAGCATTCTGTAGTTTTCATTGAGAGGTCTTTCACCTCTTTCATTAAGTTGATACCCAAGTATTTTATTTTTCAGGCTATTATAAATGGGATGGTTTTCCTAGTTTCACTTTCAGTGGGATTGTCACTGATGTACAGAAATGCCTTTGATTTATGGTGTTGATTTTATATCAGCTACTTTGCTGAATTCATTTATTAGTTCTAGAAGATTTCTGGTGGAATGTTTTGGGTCTTCTAGGTATAGAGTCATATCATCTGCAAATAGTGATAATTTGAGTTCTTCTTTTCCTATCTGTATCCCTTTAATTTCTTTTTTCTGTCTAATTGCTCTGGATAGAGTTTCAAGAACTATGTTAAATAGAAGTGGTGAAAGAGGGCATTCCTGTCTTGTTCCAGTTTTTAGAGGGAATGCTTTCAATTTTTCTCCATTTAGAATCATGTTGGCTGGGGCTTAGCATAGATAGCCTTGACAATGTTGAGGTATGTTCGTGTTATCCCTTGTTTTTCTAGCATTTTGAATATGAAGGGATGCTATATTTTATCAGATGCTTTTTCTGCATCTATTGAGATTATCATATGATTCTTTGAGTCTATTGATATGATGAATTACATTTTTTGATTTCCCTATGTTGAACCAACCTTGCATTCCTGGGATGAACCCTACTTGATCATGATGCACTATCTTTTTGATATGTTTTTGATTTGCCAGAATTTTAGTGAGAATTTTTGCATCTATGTTCATTAGAGATATTAGTCTGAAGTTTCCTTTCTTTGATGTGTCTTTGTCTGGTTTTGGAATCAGGTTGATATTGGCCTCATAGAATGTGTTTGGAAGCGTTCCCTCTTTTTTTATTTCATGAAATAGTTTGAGAAGTATTGATGTTAGTTGTTCTTTAAAGGTCTTGTAGAACATTTTTAATTTTCATATTATGTTTTTTGGCTCTCTGGAAGAAAAACTAATCAGGTCAAATCAATGGATCAGTTAGCAATTGCTATATCAAATTTAATCAAAAGTTTTCTTGACTAGAGTTTGAAAACTTTTATGGATTATTTCTAGTGCTTGGTAGAGGTGTCTTAAAACAGATATGTGTAGTTAAAACTTTGAAAAACTCCTTGTAGGCAGCTGAAATACTACTACAACATGGAGCAAACCCTAATCAGAAAGATCAAAAACAGAAGACTGCTTTGGATGAAGCAGATAATGATAAAATGAAAGAGTTGCTAAAATCTCATGGTGCTATTGAAGCCAATAATAGAGATGAAAGTAATGCTACAGTCACTGGTATGTATGTCAGTACTGCTTGCTATTTTATATAGGTAATATCTCTACTTAGAAAAATAACATTTTTACATTTGTAATATAAGTTATTCCATAACTGGGGATAGATATTTCCTATGTTTATTAAGCTTTTAAAAAGCCATTATTTTTAGAAATTAGCACTTTCAAGTTTGGTTTAATTTATAGATCATATGATTCTACTGGATTGGAGTTACATGTTAAAATAAAACCTATGTTGTTCATTAATCAAACATTCATCTTCCTACCTTTGGGTTGGAGATAGAGAAGTAACTGAAACCAAGCAGATAGTTTACTTATAGAGGAGTTAGAAAAGGGTAACATTATACTGAAGACTCTGCAACCGATATTTTGTTACTTCAAAATTTGTAATCATACATTGGTTGGATTCATGTCAGTTTTCAAATGTTCTTGTAATACTAAGCTGTTAAACAAGTATATCATACTCATATGTGTGTTTTACGTAATTACAGTGAAAAGTCTATATAAGGGAATGTATAGCTAGGCAAAAATTTTATGAACAATTTTTTAGCAATAATTTATATTTTATTAAGTGCTGAGGAGAGGAGATCGTTCTTCATTTCTTCCCGTGTTTGAGCCTTGACTCATAGAAAAAGAAACTCCAAGAAAAAAAAAAGGAAAAGAAAAAGAGAAAACTTTCCTGTGCCCTCACTATGAGGGAGAATGGGGAGATGAGAATCCTGAGGCACACTTCTGCTTTGCCTGCCTCCTTCCTCACCAACTATTGATTTTCAAGGGAGGAAAAATTACTAATATGATTAGGCAAGACCAAGGATGTTCACTGTGTAATATTTTACTAGCAAAATGGATTACATGTTGGTTAAGATCAAGACTGCTAAAAAGTTTTCTATGATCTGCCTCTGTATAGTAAGTCTATAGTGTGAGCCCCTTTCTTATGTCCTTAGCCATTTCACTCTTCCTCTCCACAGCCATATGTAAGGTTCAAGTCCCATGATTTAGCTGAACTCAGCATACCAGGGAAATCTTGTAACTGAAGTTATCTGGACTCTGTTATATACTAGTATACCCATTCCCATGTCTGTTGTTTTTGTATGTACATTTCTTAGTTAGATACCCCAATGGGATAAGGGGTACAGGGCAAATGGAAGTATGAAGAAAGGGAATCCATGGTGGGAGAAGGGTCCAAGAGAACTTTACAGAACAATGAATCATAATAGTTAAAAGCACGGACTTGGAGTCAGATGACATCTGGTTTAAGTACTAGCTGTGTGACATTGGGCAACTCTTGAACTTCTCTGAAACCTCGCTTTCTTTTGTGAAATAAATATACTACCTACATGAAAAAGTTTGCAGGAAGAATAAACTGATACATAGAAGGTATTTAACATTAATACTTTAATTAACATTAAGATATAATAACTGTAAATTATTATTTTTCCCATTCATATTACCATTAAAATTGATAAAATTTTTGCATATTTTTATTTATTTTTAAAATTTATTTTTTAAAGCAGAAATTCCTGCTGTTCGGACAAAAAGACACAAACAGTGTTTTTGTGATGTTGACAAAAATGTTGATCCATCTTCCCTTTCACGCCAAGAAAAAACAAGAGAAAGTCTTCCTGTGGTGAGTAAAATTACAACTCCTTTTATCTTCAACCTAGAAAATCCCTTTCTTTGTACCATCCAGCCACTGACTATTGGCAGAATTCTTTCCATGATAAGGACTCAAGGTTGTTGAAAATGCTTTTTTGTAATAAGAAAATAATTGAGCAGAATAAGCCAAGAAAGTATGCTGTATGATTAACTCTGACTTACCTGTATTGAATACAGAACTTTGTATTAGTTGCTGTCCTTTATACCTAGCTTGTGTTTGGCTACTTCTTATCCAACTAACTCTGCCACTGTCATAGTATGTCTTCACTCACTCATTCTCAAAAGTATCTAGGATATATAATACGTTGGCAAGACTCTAGAACCCAGATATAGCAGATGAAAGTGACCTTTATAAAGATGGATATTCTCAGTTTGACAAAAACATAAAGTTTACTAAGACACAAACTTCCTAAAAAGGTAGTATCATAAGTGAAAGATTATCTTGAATGAAAGTTTTCTCCCATTGTGGTCCAATGTACTCAATCACAAAATGGAAAAGAAAGTTGGCACCAAAAATTTTCTTTATCTTAGCCTGTAGGTGGAGGCAGACTTAGCCCGAGTATAAGTTTAGACCTTTAGTTTTCTTGTGTACCCATAAGCTATTCACTCTGTAAGGAGGTAAACCTTAGGCTTTTTGTTTGTTTTGCATGTTTGCATTTTATAGTTTCACTTTGATGTATTCAATAAATGACAGCAGGAAGAGTGCTTAACTAAATAATTAGAATATTATGTTTATTGTGTGCATTTTTCATATCCCTTGTGAACACCAAAGTAAAAATTTTAGAGCAACATACTTCAGAAGACTTTGATGACCTACACATTTTAAAAATGTATGAGAATTTATGAAAGGATAAATGAGTTAATCCATCAGTCATCATTTATGGAGCAATAACTATGTATCCAGCAATAGGGAAAGCATATACAAATGTAAAAACTATGCTTCTGCCTACAAGACCTCATTATCTTGATAAGGACATATTATGTATATGACATTATCCATATTAATGCTAAATTATAAAGCTATGAAACTCTTAAGTAATTCTGAGAAAAGAGAAATCAGTATGTATTAGATCAGAGGTTTCATGTATGAGATATGTGATTTATATATATAACAATATAACAGATATATTTATATAATAATATTTATTAAGCTCTTACTTCGTGCTGACATTGTTCTTTAGCATTTTACCTGTGTTACTCATTTCAAACACAGAGAGGCTATGTTCATTGCTGGATTCACCCAGTTAGGAAGAAGTGGAGCCAATATTCACCCACAGACATTCTGGTTCTGGAGCCTACTCTAAGATTCTCATAAGAAAGACAGGGATCTGGGCAGTGTGAATTGAAGACATTCAGGGAAGGAAGATGAATATAGACAAAGGCATTAAGGGGTAGAATACCCTTTATGAGTTTTTGAGAGTAATGTTTTATACTTTGAAGATTATGTATGAGATTTTAATACTATTCAGTGATAGTCATAAAGCCTTAAAGTGGACTTTCATATATATGTGATTTTTAAATAGTATGTACTGTTTTTTTTCCTGTCAGATGACTATAATTTTAACAAAATGAGAAGTTATGATTCCTTGTATGATTGCTACTCTCACATTCCCAGGAGATTTGACTATATAAATCAAGATCTGTTTACTATTTTTTTCAACTCTATGATATTTATATAGTTAAGCTTACATAAAACATGAGCATAAAGAAAAATGAAACATTTTAGAAGCTTGTTATAATTGTACATTTTTGTCAGTGACAGGTGGGAGAGCATATCTACCCTCTTATAGTTTCTGATATTTTTATCTGATAGCATGAGACCATCAGTGCCATTCTACAAGATATAGAAGAAAAACAGGAAAATTTATTGGTGTTTGAAATAAGAAACCCTGAAGATGCAGGTAAATATGTCTATTACTCAAAAGTGTGATTATTTCAGATATCTAGGGTCATTGTTACCTCATCTTCTTCTTAAGGGACATTTTAAAGTATGCAAAGGCTGAAAAAATGGTCTTCTTCATATATATGGAATTATCATTAAAAGTCAGTGATACAAACCAGTAGTTTGTATAATTGTTAACAAAGATACTACTATATTTAAGATAGTGGGAGTAATTTGAGAGACATTCAGAACCGTGATCAGAGATAAAATACTACTTATGGTGATATGTTCCGATCAAGATATGACAAAAAACATAAGATAATGACTAGAGATGAGATTATAATATTCATTGGCTCCTCAGTTCACCCAGTTATGGCAACCCTTAAAAATAGATCAAATTTATAACATAGAAAATAGGTTTATAAGGTTGAAAGTAGATACTGATAGATTGAGATCTGTATTCTTTCTAAAAGTCAGTTAAAAATAGTCAAAAGTAATTTAAAGTATCTCATTAGTCTTTAATATAGTAGGATATAACAGTTTATTTTTTGTCCTAATTCATGTTTGTATATAGCCTTTTGGGAAAAAATAGTTTTCTTTAAATTATATCCATTCTACTTTTTAAAAATTAATTTATTTATTATAATTGTTATACATGACAGCAGAAGGCATTGCAATTCATAGGATACATACAGAGCACAATTTTTCATGTCTCTGGTTGTACACAAAGTAGAGTCACATCATTCCTGTCTTCATACATGTACTTAGAGTGATGAATGTCCATCTCATTCCACTGTCTTTCTTACACCCATGCCTCCTCCCTTCCTCACCCTCTCCTTTTCCCTATCTAAAGTTTTTCCATTCCTCCCATACTCCCCACAACCCCCATTATGGATCAGCATTCACATATCAGAGAAACATTTGGCATTTTGTTTTTTGGAATTGGCTTACTTCACTTAGCATGATATTCTCCAACTCCATTCATTTACCTGCAAATGCCATGATTTTATTCTCTTTTAATGCTGAGTAGTATCCCATTGTGTTTATATACCACAGTTTCTTTATCCATTCATCTACTAAAAGGCATTTAGGTTGGTTCCACAATTTAGCTACTGTGAATTGTGCTGCTATAGACATTGGTGTGGCTGTGTCCCTGTAGTATGCTGTTTTTAAGTCCTTTGGGTATTAGACTGAGGAAAGGGATAGCTGGGTCAAATGGTGATTCCATTCCAAGTTTTCCAAGGAGTCTCCTACTGCTTTCCAGATTGTCTGCACCAACATGCAGTCCCACCAGCAATGTATGAGTGTGCTTTTTGCCCCACATCCTCATCAATAATTGTTGTTTGTATTCTTAATAGCTGCCATTCTGACTGGAGTGAGATGAAATCTTAAGAGTAATTTTGATTTGCATTTCTTTTTTCTTTTTTTAGAGAGAGAGAGAGAGAAAGAGTTTTAATATTTATTTATTTTTTTAGTTTTCGGCGGACACAACATCTTTGTTTTGTATGTGGTGCTGAGGATCGAACCTGGGCTGCACGCATGCCAGACGAGCACGCTACCACTTGAGCCACATTCCCAGCCCCTGATTTGCATTTCTTTAATTGTTAGAAATGTTGTACATTTTTTCATATATTTGTTGATTGATTGTATCATTTTCTGAGAAGTGTCTGTTCAGTTCCTTGGCCCATTTATTGATTGGAATATGTGTTTTGTGTGTGTGTGTGTTAAGATTTTTGAGTGCTTGAGATTAGTGCTCTATCTGATGTTCGAGTGGTAAAAATTTGCTCCCATTCTACAGGCTCTCTATTCACCTCATTGATTTCTTTTCTTTTGCTGAAAAGAAGCTTTTCAGTTTGAATCCATCCCATTTATTGATTCTTTGATTTAATTCTCTAATTAAGGAAGTTGGGGCCTAATCTGACATGATGAAGATTTGGGCCTACTTTTTCTTCCAGTAGACACAGTGTCTCTGGTTTAAATCCTAGGTCCTAGATCCATTTTGAGTTGAGTTTTGTGCATAGTGAGAGAGAGGGGCTTAATTTCATTTTGTTGCATATTTTTCAGTTTTCCCAGAACCATTTGTTGAAGAGGATACTTTTTCTCCAGTATATGTTTTGGTCACTTTTGTCTAATAGGAGATGTCTGTATTTATGTGCATTTGTCTCTGTGTTCTTTATTCTGTACCATTGGTCTACATGTTTGTTTTGGTATCAATACAGTACCATTTTTATTACTATTGCTCTGTAGTATAGTTTAAGGTTTGGTATAGTGACGCCACCAGCTTCACTTTTCTTACTAAGGATTGCTTTGGCTATTTGGGGTCTCTTATTTTTCCAAATGAATTTCATGACTGCTTTTTCTATTTCTATGAGGAATGTCATTGGGATTTTGATTGGAATTGCATTAAATCTGTATAGTGCTTTGAATAGTATGGTCATTTTGACAATATTAATTCTGCCTATCCAAGAACAAGGGAGATTTTTCCATCTTCTAAGGTCTCCTTTAATTTCTTTCATTGTAGAGGTCTTTCACCACTTTCATTAAGTTGATCCCCAAGGTTTTTTTTTTTTTTGAGGCTATTATAAATGGGGTAGTTTTCCTTGTTTCTTGTTCAGAGGATTTGTCACTGATGTACAGAAATGCCTTTGATTTATGGGTGTTGATTTTATATCCTGCTACCTTTCCAAATTTATTTGTTCTAGAAGTTTTCTGGTGGAATTTTTTTGGATCCTCTAGGTATAGAATTACGTCATCAGCAAATATGATAATTGGAATTCTTTTTTTCCTATCTGTATCCATTTAATTTCTTTTGTCTAATTGCTCTGGCCAGTATTTCAAGAACTATGTTAAACAGAAGTGGTGAAAGAGGGCATTCCTGTCTTGTTCCAGTTTTTAGAGGAAATGCTTTCAGTTTTTCTCCATTTAGAATGATGTTGGCATGGGGCTTAGCATAGTTGCTTTTATAATGTTGAGATATATTCCTGTTTTCCTTAATTTTTCTAGTGTTTTTAACATGAAGGGATGCTGTATTTTGTCAAATGATTTTTCTGCATCTATTGAGATGATCATGATTCTTTAATCTATTGATGTGATGAATTACATTTTTTGGTTTCTGTATGTTGAACCAACCAACCTTGCATCTCTGGGATGAACCCTACTCGATCATGGTACCCTATCTTTTTGATATTTTTTTTTATTTGATTTGCCAGAATTTTATGAGAATTTTTGCTTCTATGTTCATTAGTGATATTGGTGTGAAGTTTTCTTTCTTTGATGTGTTTTTGCCTGGTTTTGGAATCAGGATGATATTGGCCTCATAGAATGAGTTTGAAAGTGTTCCCTCTTTTTCTATTTCATGAAATAATTTGAGAAGTATTAGTTCTTCTTTGAAGGTCTTGTAGGACTCAGCTGTGTATCCAACTGGTCCTGGGCTTTTCTTTATTGGTAGGCTTCTAATGGTGTCTACTATTTCGTATCTTGAAATTGATCTGTTTAACTTGTATATATCATCCTGATTCAGTTTGGGCAAATCATGTGCCTATAAAAATTTCTCAATGCCTTCAGTATAAATTTTCAAATAATTTCTAATTATCTTCTGTATTTCTGTATTGTGTGTCTTGATATTTCCTTTTTCATCATGAATGTTAGCAATTTGAGTTTTCTGTCTCCTTCTCTTCATTAGCATAGCTAAGAGTTTATCAGTTTTATTTATTATTTCAAAGAACCAACTTTTTGTTTTGTCAATTTTTTTCAATTGTTTTTTTGTTTCAATTTCATTATTTCAGCTCTGATTTTAATTATTTCCTGTCTTCTACTGCTTTTGGTGTTGATTTGTTCTTTTTCTAGAGCTTTGAGATGTAATATTAGGTCATTTATTTGTTGACTTTTTCTTCTTTTAAGGAATGAACTCTATGCAATGAACTTTCTTCTTAGTACTACCTTCATAGTGTCCCAGAGATTTTGATGTTGTATTAGTACTCGTTTACCTCTAACAATTTTTAATCTCTTCTTTGATATATTTTGCAACCCATTGTTCATTTAATAGCATATTATTTAGTTTTCAGGTATTGAGTAGCTTCTGTTTTTTATTTTATCATTGATTTATAATTTAATTCCGTTATGATCTGATAGAATGCAGAGTAGTATCTCTGCTTATTCTATTTGCTAAGAGTTGATTTATGGCATACTACGTGGTCTATTTGAAAGAAGGATATCCATGTGCTGCTGAAAAGAAAGTGTATTCACTCATTTATGATGAAATATTTTTTATATGGTAGTTGAGTCTAAGTTATCGATTGTTTTATTGAATTCTGTCATTTCTTTGTTCAGCTTTGTTTGGAAGATCTATCCAGTGGTGAAAGAGGTGTTTTAAAGTCACCCAGAATTATTGTGTTGTAAGTCTATTTGACTCTTGAACTTGACAAGAGTTTGTTTGATGAATGTAAATGCTCCATTGTTTGGCACATATATATTTATAATTGTTATGTCTTATTGATATATGGTTCCCTTGAGCAACATGAAATGTCCTTCTTTATCCCTTTTGATTACCTTTGTACTGAAGTCTACTTTATTTGATATGAGGATGTGAAGCCTGCATATTTCCACAGTCCATGTGAGTGGTACGTTTTTTTCTCAACCTTTCACCTTCAGTCTGTGGATGTATTCTCCCATGAGATGAGTCTCTTGGAGGCAGCATATTTTGGGGCCTTTTTAATCCAATCTGCCAGTCGTGTCTTTTGATTGGTGAGTTTAAGCCATTAACATTCAGGATTATTATTGAGACTTGATTTGTTTTTCCAGTCATTTTTTGTTTATTTTTGGTTTTTAACTTGACTTGGTTTCTCCTTGGATTGGTATTTCCTTTAGTGTAATACCTCCCTTTGCTGGTTTTCATTGTTGTTTTTAATTTCCTCCTAATGGAATATTTTGCCAAAGATGTTCTGTAGTGCAGGTTTTGAAGTTGTAAATTCTTTAACTTTTGTTTATCATGGAAGGTTTTTATGTTGTCATCAAATCTGA